TCAATAAAGCAACATGTACGAGTGCACCAGATGTGGCCACAAAAAGGGGGCTCTGAGCTCCATGGCTGATTACGACTTTCCTCGCTGGAAGACACATGGCTCTGAAGAGTGTCCCATTGAGGTACTTGGGCGGGAGGACATTTGCGGTGTCTGCCGTTGCCTCTGTTTCTTTGCCATCGTTGACGACTACGAGCTGGAACCACTGCATGGGCAGGTGTCCCCCGGTACTCTGGATGCGGATGCCATCGCCGTTGATCAAATGAAAACGGACTCAGACACGGACACAATGGATACAAGAGACGAGATGGTAGATGATTTTCTGACCAGAAAATAAATACAAACCGAATATTAAGAATTATACATACACTTTGGATAAGATATAAAGGGTCTTGCAGCATCCCCAAAACCATAGGAGGCCCCAGTTAACCTTTGGGAATTGATATTTAGAAAGATTTATTTATGTGTGTTTGACCAAAGAAAAGGCTACCCCAATCGAGTATTTGAAGAACGTTTTATGGTTACAGATACCCCCCGGCACGGACCATAGATAGATGCTATGGGCATGGGCTATAAGGATAGGAATGGAGCAATAACTAAATAGGAAGATTGTCTGTCAATAAAAGCAGTCAAACGATGTTGCAATAAATATACATACATACATAAGATTAAGATAATTTCTTTCTATTTGTCTTTCGATTTGTAAATACTGATTATGTCAGGTACAGAAAGAATCACTCTCTCTCTCGCAGTGTGGCTTGGCTTCTAAGAGTGGTAAATACAAAGTTAAGAATATTCCATTGGCTTGTTTTTACTCAATATAGTCTCTTTCTTCCAGCGTGGCTTAGCCGTAAGGTTGTTTGTTTATGTCCTGAATCAGTAAATAAAAGAGCTAAGGAGGAAAGTGATGATACAAAGGAGTGGAAGGGAGTCAGTAGCATTAAATATACCTACCGAAAATAATAATACCTAATAATAATTAAGACAGATCTTAAATGGTTTATGCTAAGAATAATTTGATCTAAAACGCGGAGGTAGGAAAGTGTACAGACGAGTGCTCGTACGACTACTTTTTTTTGGGAAATTCCAGTTAGTTGTGTGGAACAAATCAGTGTCTCGTTTTGTGGAAAACTTCATTCCAAGACTGACTCTGTGCTGGAAACAATTATTGCTACACTAAACATTTTATATAAATAAATATCCCATATCCCAGTCAATCAGGTAAGCCATACAATTGCAGAATGTACGCGTGCACCATATGTGGAAAGACGAAGGAATCTATTAACAATCCGGAGTACGATTTCCGTCGTCCAAGTACCAGCCCAGAGGAGCGTACCGTAGTGGGTTCCTCTGACTTATGCAGCAAATGTCAACAGCTCAGCTTTTTTGTCAACCTGGAGGATAGTGATGATGATGATAATGATGAAAAGAATGCGGTAAGCCATCAGCAAAGACCAAGAAGTTTCAAATCAAATCCAACTCGCTCCCTCCATCCGTAGCCCGACTGGGTCCACCAGCAGACCGTTGAGGGTACTTCCACTTGTGATTCGCAACATGCCCATCCGAATCGACCGCCTGAGGTGCCGGTCCTGCAGAAGCGCCATTATATGCGGCAGAAGAAGGCTCCATTGACTACACCAACTGTATGCGAGAAGCAGCAACACCCTGAGCTGGAGAAGAAGACTTCTTTGACTTTCTTTGCTCATGGTGCATCTCGGGTGGCAGAGTCGTATGGAGTGGCGCCTCAAGAAGCGTGAGCCTGGTCGTTCTCTCCACGTTCTTCAAAAAAAAACGCAAGAAAGGAGAAGAAGAAGTGGATGCCGGCAAAGGCATCACTTCAAGATGCATTCAACAGCAAAAAGGCCACTACTTGGAGGCCGACTTGCCTAAGTCCATCATGCAACGTTGCGACTACGAGCTAAGCTTCCCGAATCCATGCCTAGCCACAGGCATGCCAGCATGGCCAGCCAAATGCCAATTCCGCACGGTTCTCAATGACCAGGAGATCCAGCAGGCATTTAAGGAGATCTTGCAGAAGGTTGCCCTCTCGTTGCAGAAAGCGAAGACGTCATGCAAAAATCAGAGCATTCGTCGTTATCCCATTGAGTGCCCCGATGCGGATTGCCAGAGCCCAGTCTTTGTTTCGGGCATACTCAGCCATATACTGAAATATTATAGCGCGTTGCCCATCGATCGGATGCGCCTGCGGCAGACCATGACCTTCTTCTTGGACCCAAACGTGATGCGGCGCAACCATGCCAAGTGCCAACAGACTTTCGGTGTGCAGAGAAAGGGCGACCAGCTGCAGCAACTGATGGCCGTTGGGCCCCGCCTGACCGGTAGCTCTTTGGGACAGAGTGATCAAAAGGATGATGACTCGATTTCTGACCACATTGAACCCAACTGACAAGCGCATCTTTGGCACACTGGCCACAGACCGCCCTGACTCCATGATGATGGCAACTGCCCGCACCTAGGACTGTCTCGATTTGGGCGCCCTCTTTGACGTTCTAGCGCGCCCATCCAAGAAACGCAATGAATTGATAGCAATTCAAATTCAATTCCCTTAGAAATATGGAATCATCTGCATCTGTTATGCCAATTTAGGTTTATTTTCAGACCCAAAATTGTATGGTTCCTTTTGCCTTAAGATATGTTCTCTTATGGAAACATATTTACAGAAACTCTTGTTTATTTTTAGTCCAAATATATGTCAAATGTATGTGTTGAATGCACAACCAGCTGATGCAGGTCATAATTAATATATTTTTCATCTAGGAAACCACCAAGAAGATGTTTATCGGTCACGGTGCTCACCCAAAGACAATTTCAACGCTCTTCCAGTGGGGCTTAGCCTCTCCAGCTCTTTACCTCCATATCCCACTTTTCCACTCGATTTGTTTTGAAACTCGATCACACACTCTAGGGCATTTCAGTTTTCTCACACTTTTGGCACAAGCTAGAACTCGTTTACATAGAAATTCCCAAAAGTTGTTTACCCTCAATAAAGCAACATGTACGAGTGCACCAGATGTGGCCACAAAAAGGGGGCTCTGAGCTCCATGGCTGATTACGACTTTCCTCGCTGGAAGACACATGGCTCTGAAGAGTGTCCCATTGAGGTACTTGGGCGGGAGGACATTTGCGGTGTCTGCCGTTGCCTCTGTTTCTTTGCCATCGTTGACGACTACGAGCTGGAACCACTGCATGGGCAGGTGTCCCCCGGTACTCTGGATGCGGATGCCATCGCCGTTGATCAAATGAAAACGGACTCAGACACGGACACAATGGATACAAGAGACGAGATGGTAGATGATTTTCTGACCAGAAAATAAATACAAACCGAATATTAAGAATTATACATACACTTTGGATAAGATATAAAGGGTCTTGCAGCATCCCCAAAACCATAGGAGGCCCCAGTTAACCTTTGGGAATTGATATTTAGAATGATTTATTTATGTGTGTTTGACCAAAGAAAAGGCTACCCCAATCGAGTATTTGAAGAACGTTTTATGGTTACAGATACCCCCCGGCACGGACCTTAGATAGATGCTATGGGCATGGGCTATAAGGATAGGAATGGAGCAATAACTAAATAGGAAGATTGTCTGTCAATAAAAGCAGCCAAACGATGTTGCAATAAATATACATACATACATAAGATTAAGATAATTTTTTTCTATTTGTCTTTCGATTTGTAAATACTGATTATGTCAGGTACAGAAAGAATCACTCTCTCTCTCTCGCAGTGTGGCTTGGCTTCTAAGAGTGGTAAATACAAAGTTAAGAATATTCCATTGGCTTGTTTTTACTCAATATACTCTCTTTCTTCCAGCGTGGCTTAGCCGTAAGGTTGTTTGTTTATGTCCTGGATCAGTAAATAAAAGAGCTCCCATCCAAGAAACGCAATGAAATGATAGCAATTCAAATTCAATTCCCTTAGAAATATGGAATCATCTGCATCTGTTATGCCAATTTAGGTTTATTTTCAGACCCAAAATTGTATGGTTCCTTTTGCCTTAAGATATGTTCTCTTATGGAAACATATTTACAGAAACTCTTGTTTATTTTTAGTCCAAATATATGTCAAATGTATGTGTTGAATGCACAACCAGCTGATGCAGGTCATAATTAATATATTTTTCATTTAGGAAACCACCAAGAAGATGTTTATCGGTCACGGTGCTCACCCAAAGACAATTTCAACGCTCTTCCAGTGGGGCTTAGCCTCTCCAGCTCTTTACCTCCATATCCCACTTTTCCACTCGATTTGTTTTGAAACTCGATCACACACTCTAGGGCATTTCAGTTTTCTCACACTTTTGGCACAAGCTAGAACTCGTTTACATAGAAATTCCCAAAAGTTTTTTACTCTCAATAAAGCAACATGTACGAGTGCACCAGATGTGGCCACAAAAAGGGGGCTCTGAGCTCCATGGCTGATTACGACTTTCCTCGCTGGAAGACACATGGCTCTGAAGAGTGTCCCATTGAGGTACTTGGGCGGGAGGACATTTGCGGTGTCTGCCGTTGCCTCTGTTTCTTTGCCATCGTTGACGACTACGAGCTGGAACCACTGCATGGGCAGGTGTCCCCCGGTACTCTGGATGCGGATGCCGTCGCCG